GAACAGAACGTATTTACCAAACTTTTAATGTAAGTTTACCTTCCTGTGAAATCTGCTTTAAAACGACTCCCTCTAACTTTTCAAACGCCTCCTGTAAATCACCTACAGTTACAATAAAACTTTTTATTTAACTCTGGAACTCTGACTGCGTTTTACAATAATGAGACCAAGTAACAAATGATGTTAATGAGTAGGTTAGTCAAACTGTAAGTTCAATACATCTGATGACAAGAATGACCGTGTTTTCAATCTTTTTTAAAGCTTTTTTGTTTTTTCGTGAGCAACCCTATCAGCCGGACTGTTGGCATTGCTTGATGTACTTTAAGTAATATCGACATAATGAACGAAGAGATTTTATATTTTTAGCAATTTATCTGTGTAAGTCGATGACTGTTATCGGCGTCTGTTAAAACCGCTTAATTGTCCACAGTCCAACCAAATTCTTCCATAATATAAATCGGCAAATTTCAATATTAAAATTACAGCTATTTATCAGGTGAAACGTTATGACATTTATGAGCTGCAAAGAAATAAAAAAAACCATGATGCCGTCACAAAAAATCAAAAAGTATTCAATTTCTTCCTTTTTGATAATAAAATATTGTTTGAAACGTCCAAAAAATTTCAAGTGATTTCCCAATAAAACGCGCATATAGGAAATATTTTGTATTTTTTGCTATTCCAGGAACAATGCTCTATTGCCTTAATTTGTTCAACATGTTAATAATGGGCAAAAAAAAACATCTAATTTATAATGGCGACTTATAGTCAAAAATGTATACGTGTAGTTAAGAACTGTTGAGCAGTCTTTGCAACCAACTAAAAATCAACGTCTATTTGTAAAGGATAACGCTTGTAATCAGCTTATACCTGTTCACCTTTAACTCTGATATCAAAATCTTTAGACTAGTATCGCAAATTACGGTTGCTGCCAAAAATTTCTGAGCTTCATTTGTTGCATCGCATTCACTTTGCACAATTCTATCTTGTCGATAAATAAACTTTAAAACACGGTTTATTGCTAGAAAAAAAAAAAAAAAAAAAAAGATCCCTGATTGATCAATTACTTTTTTTTCTTTTACGCGGATATATCTTAGAAACAAAAAAGTTTAAATGCTACAGTAGGCAAAAGATACCTGAATTATTCTTAGACAGAAGTGAAAAAAAAATGGAACAGCTACTGGAAGAAAACGAAATTTGTCTAATCGATGCCAAGAGAAACAAAAACGGGGGAAGAATTGGGGAAGGGTTGAGGCTGAAAATCTGTAAGCTGCCAAGAAGAGAAGAAAAAATTCATGTTTTTTTTTTTTATTTTGCTATTTGATCATTCAATTTGCTCAAACTTGTTCAAACAAAAAGGTTTCGCAATTTTCTTTTCTGATGTAACATTGCATGAGAAGCACCAGTTCTCTCCTTTCGGTTTCAAACTTCCTCCCTGAAATTGATGGCCGTTCATACACTGCAGACACGCTGGAGACATATACAAATGCAGCATCTGTGCAACAACTCAGAAATTGTTTTTAAATGCATTATAAAAGACAGAAAAAAGAAAAAAAAAAGCATATCTAAAATTGCAAAAAAATTTTGTGTTGCTCCAGACAGTGTTTGTTTTGAAAAGAAAAGCCGTGTTATCGCAATTGGCAGAGAGCCAAACTAAAGTGCCAAAAAATAAATTATTTGGCGCAATAGTGACGTTTTGACTTGAAGACCTTCCGTAGTGCAAATATATAGAGATATTTATGTATAAATACAATTTGTATTCGCCGATTCGTTGCAGAAAATGCATTTAGTTTTGTTATTGAGCGTACTGGTAGACGGTTGTTGGTCTGGTGTCGTTGTTTCATGGTCGTAATGTTAGTTCTTTAGTGTGATCTTCGTTTATATCACCATTTTGCTTTGTGTCTTTCCGTTTTTCTATGATTTATTGTATTTATTTAATTTTTTCTGCCTTTTTTTTTTATTGCTCTAACCGTATAACTGGTATTTTTTTTTGTCACTTTGGTTTGGTTGTTTCCAGTGATTGACAATAACAGTATGCTTCTTTTGCTGTTTTTTTTGAATTCCGTTTATCTTTTCTTCATTTTTTTTTTCTTTTTAGGTTTTGAGTACAGCATTAACTTTGCTATATAGCAGTAGGAACGATAATTGATTTAAGTGTTCCACGGTTTTTTGAACGGATATAGCAGTCTATGTCTTTTTACTTTTTTCTATCTTACTCTACTTTGTTCTTAGATATGTTTTAGTTGTCTTTTTTTTCAGGCTTATTAAAACGTATTTTGTGAGATCTTCATTATGGGTAAGCGGAAGTCAAAGAGGAAGCCACCACCAAAGGTGAAACCAATTGTTCCCCTAGAGACACAATTTAACTGTCCATTTTGTAACCACGAACATGTTTGCGAAGTAAAGATGTAGGTTTTCACAGACTTAACGTTTCAGCAGGATAGAAGAGATTTTTTGAACATCTTTGTTATATTTTGAAAGTAGGCTGTAATTGCTATGAACCTATTACGAGACATAGAATTTTTGTAGTTTTTTTTGGTTGTCTGTTCAGTTATCTTTAGTTATGTGCAGTGGCTTTCTGCGCCTTTTTCTTTCTGCTGACTGGAGCTTTATTGCCGCTGAATGGACCTTTATAAATTTTCAGGGATCGTGAAAGGAACGTTGGGTTTATCTCTTGCAGGGTTTGTCTGGAAGACTTCCAGACTCCAATAAATTATCTTTCCGAACCGATTGATGTGTATTCGGACTGGATTGATGCCTGTGAGCAAGCGAATCAGTGAAGCGTATGATCTTTCCATTAAAATTTTTATGATGTGATTCTTGTTAGTCTTAGTAATTGTAGTCGAGATGTGGGATTGCAGAAAATTCCGATTTTTCTGCTCCTTTAGAGCACTTGATTTGGAGCACTGGTTTTGGCGATTAATCTTGATTACAGTTACTGTTTTTGCGTTGTTCGGCTGTTCTTTTTTTGCCTATGCAGGAATCTTGTAAATGTTATTGCTTATTGTTTTGTTCATAATGTTTTGTGGCTTGATGTCCTACTTGTTTGTATAGTTTCTTACCCCGCGCGGTCTGTAAAACGTTTATAGGTTGCTTTCAAGATGTCATATAGAGATGAGAAGTCGCCTTGATGTTTTCAGAGGAATGTTTATAATTGTTGAATTTGCGGTTTTATAAATTTTGTTATTTTAATCAGTAAATTATTCGTTCTTCTTTCTCCTCCTGGAATTAAGAATTTCAGTGAGAAAGTTTTACTTCTGGTTTTTCTGCCACTCAGTTACACAGGGGTATCCTTGTGTTGTGAAGTCTTGGTTGGGTAGTTTCTGAAGTTCCCTGATGTTAGCTTGGAAGTTGGTGCTAGCTGTTGGCCAGGGATTTGTATACGGTCTCTTTATCGTACTTGTCATGTGACTTTAGTTTGCTACTGAAAGTTGCGAAATTTTATGTTTGTCTACAGGTGATATGGCGAAGCGGAAGTTCGCCGCTTGTATGCAACCGTTGGTGTCGGCTTGCAAGTGAGTTCAAATGTCTGCATAAGCTGGTCCAATTCCAGGTAATCTTTTGTCATACAGACCTCACTTGAAGGACCGACTCGATGTTTGTATAATACGAAGCAGCAATGGTGGTTTAGCTGGTCGCAGCACTTCTTTCTACGGAAATTCAAAGAGAGAGGCATTAGATAATTTGGTCTATATTCGCGGTAAGTTTAGGGTAGTTAGAAGTAGTAAAGTCGAAGCTCGTCTGAGGATTATGAACATTGAAAAAGGCACTACCAGCAAGGCTGGTCTGGGTTTAAATGGCTGCTTCTCGACAGAATCTCTTTTTCGGTGCCGCGTTTGATGTTATGGTAGCACTTCTTTGTACAACTTTATGGCCAGCTAACTTCTGAGATATTTTTTCAAGTGTGTTATTGGATAGAAAAATGAGAGAGTCATTTATTTGTGCTCTAGAGTGACTCACAAAAGAGAATTATCATTATTTTGTCTATATCTGCAATACCTACAGTAAATAGAGACGTGATGTCTCAATTTTATATTCTACTGGAACTCATATGGTAGTTATACAGCTCATTAACAGTTTCTAATAAACAGCCGATGGTCCACGCTTGCGCTGTGCACGAACCGCTGCAAAAACTTCCATTCTGATTTGTCAGCTCTGGAAGTGACTGCCATGGTGATCTTTGCAAGTGTTCCCAGTAAGCCCCCATCCGAGCTCGTACACTTCTCAGGGCTGAGTCGTAAATGTTGTGATCACCAAGCTCCTTTGCTACCACAATTTTGGCCCGTAAGAAGTACGCGGCAACCCACAGCCACTCCTGAAAATATTAATGATGCACTGAAGTGAGTTCCCTGCCTCTGGAATCGGTCTCCATTGAGAAGCGTTCATCAGAAACAGTTTTTCATGAGTGTTTTACAGATGGCATTTTTTTATCTGCTTCTTAAGTCAAGTCTTACTGGTCCTTGGTGGTAGTTCCATCCTTGAGCTACGGCCTTATCATAGCCATCATTACTGTTGTCATAGAATCCGTTGTAGGCCCAGTCACTGCAAAAATGAAATTTTACGCTGGAAAGCTATGATTTTTTCAGCGCCGAATTCGAACTTACGTTGGGTCTAAAGTTTTTATACCGAGCGGGCCCATTAAAACCTCTTCCGCAAGACATATTGCTTTCCACGCCTTCCTGGGTGTTACGAGCTTTGGAGCCTGAAAAGATAACTCAGGAAGTGTTAGAACTTAAAATGTTGTCCCTTTTCTTTTAAAAAGGTGTTTGAAAGTGCTGGTAATACTGCTCAACTCAGGAATACATTCAAAGAGAAAGCAGATGAGGTTAAAAGTAACCTAATGACTAACCACTGCTAAGGTAATCGCAAAGTTTGGCCTCAGTTGGTAATCGGTGTAAACATTTGAACTTCCTACGCTGTCTTTTATAATATGACGGCGATTGACGCTTGGAGAGTGATCATTGTCGTCAACGTAAAAATGCTTCTCAAAATTTTCCTTTATACGTTCTGCCCACTCACTCCATTTCCAAGATACACCTTCTCAAAAACACCTATTCGTTGAATGTAATTGGAGAGCGGTGAGTAAAACTGGAAATCAATTACAGCAAGACAGCTGAGAGACTTGAAACAAACCATCCGAAACTCCTTGATAGGGATAAATACCCTTATTACTCATTTCATGAAGCTTTAGTAAAACTGCGTAAGCCAATCCCTGAAGCTCTACAGCGGCACCATCTCGTGGAGTTGCAGGATAACCGCGATTACCTGCTTTTTCAGAACTGCCCATCTTGTCCATCCATGTGCCGCAGTTAAAGCTATTTCCTCCACAAACGAAGCCAGTGTTACGATCAATGTAGGCATTTATGTTGAAACCTAAAGATACTTTTTTACCCTAGCTTTCTGGCACTGTACTGAGCATGAACTGTAGGTTAGTGTAAGAGTTAACCCGGCTCCTTCATGTGTTCGTCGATACTGTGTCCTGCATTTCTTTCAGTAAACTGAATCCCATGGAAATGACGCTGTAATGCTTCATACATTGTTTCTTGCAGCAGCTCGATCTAAAATGAAAACTTGCTAAGCAGGTTTTGGTCGGAAGCAGACTCTGTAGCTTCTTAGACGTCATACATTTAATCTTTAACTGAAAATTTTGGCTAGTAATTAGAAATGCACAAACATGTTAGATTACTGCGTGAGTTGTACAAGATCTAGTAATTTATCTCCGACACAAGGAAATGATGTATACCTTTTGATTGTCACCATATTGAGTGTCATCAGTCGGATATAATCTCAGGACCTCTTCAGTAAGAATTTTTTCACCCAGTGGAGCCATTTCTACATATTTCACAATGGCGTGTAACCAGAACCATACAGCATCTCGACAGTTATATCTTGGTCCTATACCTTCAGCCAAGAGATTGGGTATTAGGCCGTGCCGCAAAGTTCCAGCGTAAGAAAGTATCAAACATCTTAAACAGTCATTGGTAGGTTTTTGTTGTCATTTGGAGAAACAGAATAAGATATATAGACCTTTTGCTAAGAGTGACATCAAAATGAGTTACGTTTATTTGTACCTGGCATCATAGTAACGACCAGTCACTAGGAGACATCCTGGAAGGGCAATGAAAGTATCTCTTCCCCAGTTTCGCCAAATTCCAGTTGTAAAGTGGGGAAGTCCAGCAGAAAGTGAAGACGGCATCCGGTCTTCCAAGGCGATTGACTTGCTGAGGGGTGGTAATTTAGCAGAGTTAACGGCACCAAGGAACGAAACTGAAGAGAGTGCCAAACCTCGGACTAGTTCTGATGCGGACATAAGAGACCTGGAAATGAGAGTTTGGTTCATAATTGCCTTCTGTGCGAACTAATTTGCTTTAATGATATGAGACAGGTGAAATTTTGGGCGTAAGTATTACTTTTGGTTCACTTCCACCTTCAAGAAAGACCTAGTTTCAGCAACTTACGGGTTCAATTTTTTTTCTAGGTGATGGCGAACGCTAGAGAAAATGTGTGATAAGATTGCTTCAAAGTAGCAAGGTCTTAAATAGTGTTGAAGATCTTTCAATGGCATGAACATCTTTTCCACTATACACCCTAGTTCTCTAGTGCCATCACATTTCTTCAAATAACCGACGATGTAGTCGCACATCCACGTCCCATCACGGAGGTTTCCGCATACAGGATGTCCCAAGTCGTTGTTTAAACGAATTGCCTTTAATAGTGGTCTTATACCTAAAAGAATGATGAGCTGTGCCTACGGAAAAGTAATTTCAAACATAAAATTAGTCTGGAGCAACAGCAAATTTATTATTACCCTGAAGGCCACAGTAAACAAGGTTGCCAAAATTTGGTATATTGTATGTTCCGTCCCCATAATCATCTCTTTCTTCTGTTTCACAGCGGAACAAAACTCTGTTGTAAGACTGCAGTGACATACCTTCCAAACATTTATGCAAAACTTAAATAATTTCGATTCATTTCTGAGGTAATGTTAAGAGCTAGGCTGCTGAAATGTTTAACGTTTGAAAACAAAAAGTAACCTGAATCAGCCTCGACGTCTTCGCCATTTATGAGCTTCCTAATTTTCGTTATATTTTGCTGAGCATTGTCCAGTGGTGAAATCCTGAACAGTACCAGCATAAGTTCAGTGCAAATTAGGAAAGCAGCAAAGTGTAAGATTTTTGGGGTGAGGATGTACGTAGGAAAGTACGAACTTGAAGGCAACAACAGAACTTGAAGGGAAGTGAGAAAGCTCTACATGGCCGTCTTTTAAACCGTGAACTTTAACAAGTTCGGAGTCTTCAGGCATCAAGTGTTCCTTTAGTGTAAACTTATAACCGCTCAAACCAGTTATTTTTGACTCATCATCTGCAAAAAATGTTCACAATCGGAAGTCTAGTAGAGCCCGACGTTATACATAATGCTCTCATCAGAATCCTGCTACGTAAAAATGAAGAGACAATTTCAAATATCCTTATTTTTCTTCGTTTGTTTCCGTCAAACTCGTTTAGTTAAAGAAGTCAGGGTAGCTGAGAAACTAAGCGAGAGTTTGGAGCTGGAAGCACAAGTTAAAAGTACCGGAGGGGCTCTCTTCAGGTGCTTTGTGAAGGTGAGCTTCAAAAAGAATTTCTTCCAGACGACCTATAATTAAAAGCCATAAAGATATGACAACAAAAAACAAGGTAATAAAGTGGCACTTATGCTGCCGAAAAGACGAAAGTTCAATTCTCACGTAAGCAGAAATCAGAATTCAAACCTCTGAAGTAAACGTCTCTAACCGGTGGTCTATCCAAACAAATACATTCTTTACTAAAAGCAGTATGTGCAACTAAAATAACGGTCTCGTGAGTTACAGGATTATGTCTAGTTACAGCAACGATATCGAAGTTCATTTGGTCAACGAATACCTGAATATTTAACCAGAAATCATTATTTTAGAAGAGATACGTAGGTTGGTGGGAAGAAACCAAGTTCTATTAAAAAAATGACTACATACATTACCTGCGTGTACCCGTTAAGTGCTAACCAGGCGTGTAGCTTATTTACCACTTCCCTTGCCCCAATTATTCCTGAGCTTTTACTTAGTTCACTCCACCTGCGATACGGACGATTTTCAGTTACAACACTTAGCTGAAAGTTGAACCAATGAAATCACACTTCAGGAAAAGGATCAAGCAAAGAAGAGTGACGGAAGCAAGTTCGAGATTTACGGCAGAAGGTATAAGTTCATCATAGCCGCGAGTAGAACCATTCGCACAGCTTGCCATTGCAACCATTGCAGCAGTTGGTAAGACGTCATATACTGATCTTTTCTATA